TGTTTGTCGACTATGAGAGAAGACTAAATGGCGTTGGGTTTCACCTTTTACCATACCATAGCTCTCATCACTAAAGGTTAGCTGACAGAGAATGATAAAATTAATAGAATCAGGCGTTACTTTGCGGAAATCGAAATAACTCTTAACATCTTTGACAAGGAATGCCTTTTCGGCAATATGTTCGCCTTTGTACCAAATTGTTTTTAGTACAATGAAGATTTTTTTTGTCTATCTAAATAAGATAAATTGAAATAATCTTGCCATACTAAAATAAAAACCCCCAATTCAAAATAAATTTGAAGGACGACGCAATGCATTTGACGAAAAAACAATTCATACGTTTCACTTTCCGTGTTAAAGACCAGGGCTGTCCACATAAAATATAAATAAACATATTCAAATTCTTATCTTCCTGTTGTATTGATGTTTTATTACAAGTAAATTAACTTTACCTATTAAAAGAACACGGAAACAAAAAAAGATTTTACAAAAACTTCCTGTATGTCTAACCAGGTCGTCACTCCACCTAGTTTAGGGCCGCCTTACACTTCACCTACACCGGTACTAGGCTGCCACTCGAGAACTTTGCTTCCCCATTGGTTGTCTGTTTTTCGAACTATATGGCGGATAATCTATGAATAAAACTTTTAATACTAAATACTGTCTTAAAAATCATGTTTGGTAGCGGCCTAAAAGAATTCATGAGTCTATTTCATCTCGGGTGAGGTAGGAGGCGACTACTGGAAATGCCAGAAAATCTTTATACCTTTCGATATATTGCGGTATAAGCATCTTCGTTGAGCTAGAATACCAAAACTGGCGATGAGAAGCAGCGTTAACGTCGCGAGACGTCTTGTTTTTGCACTATTACTGAACTTTGAAGAGCGTGTGTAATCAGCGAATTTAAAGTTAATTGTTTGTACTACATCATCATCATCATCATCATTACAGCCCTTCACGAGTCCACTGCTGAACATAGTCCTCCCCCAAGTAATGCCACAAAGCACGGTCCTGAGCCACCTGCATCCATCGACTTCCTGCATATCTTAACAGGTCGTCACTCCATCTAGTGGGGGGTCGCCCTACACTACGCCTACCGGTACGAGGCTGCCACTCAAGAACCTTTCTTCCCCATCGGTTATCGGTTCTTCGAGCTATATGGCCGGCCCATTGCCACTTCAGCTTACTAATCCGTTGGGCTATGTCGGTCACTCTGGTTTTACTGCGGATATCCTCATTTCTGAGTCTATCACGCAGAGAAACTCCGAGCATAGCCCTCTCCATAGCTCGCTGAGCGTCCTTGAGCGTCCTCATACGGCCAGCAGTGAAGGACCACGTCTCAGATCCGTAAGTCATCACTGGCAACACGCACTGGTTGTACAATCTAGTTTTTAGAGATTGAGGTATACCTGACGAGAATATATGTCATAATTTCCCGAACGCTGCCCAGCCGAGTTGAATCCGTCGATTGACCTCTCGGTCGAAGTTGGAGTTACCTAGTCGGACTATTTGTCCCAGGTAAACGTACTCGTCAACAACTTCGAGCATAGTGCTCCCAACAACTACCGGCATAGGTGTGACATGGACATTGAACATGATCTTTGTTTTGTCCATGTTCATCTTAAGACCTATCCGTTGGGAGGCACTATTGAGGTCATTGAGCATAGTGCTTAAGTCCTCCAGCGATTCTGCCATAAGGACTATATCGTCGGCAAATCGAAGGTGAGTGATGTACTCGCCATTGATGTCAATACCGTATCCTGTCCAGTCCAGTAGCTTGAAAACGTCTTCCAATGCAGCGGTGAAGAGTTTCGAGGATATAACGTCACCCTGTCTTACACCTCTCTGCAGTTGGATAGGTTTCGAGCTCTGGTTCTGTACTCGGATAGCCATCGTAGCCCTACTGTACAAACACTTCAGCACTTCGATATACCGACAGTCAACTTGGCACCGCTGAAGGGACTGTAGCACCGCCCAAATTTCAACGGAATCAAAGGCTTTCTCATATTCCACATACGCCAGGCAAAGTGGCAGATTGTACTCTTCAGTCTTCTGTACAATCTGCCGCAGGGTATGTATGTGGTCTATGGTACTGAAGCCTTTTCGGAAACCGGCTTGTTCGGGAGGCTGGAAGTCGTCGAGTCTGCGTGCGAGACGATTCGCAATGACTCTCGAAAACAGCACGTAGACGCGGCTCAGAAGGTAAATCGGTCTGTAGTTCTTTAAGAAAGCGTTGTCACCTTTCTTAAAGAACAAGACCACCGCACTTCTGCTCCACGCCTCTGGAGTAGTGCCACCATGGAGGACGGAATTGAAGAGCTTCTGAAGGACTTCAAGTACCGGTGTTCTACCCGCTTTCAGAAGTTCCGCTGTAATTCCATCCTCGCCTGGGGCCCTGCCATTTTTAAGGTGCTGGAGAGCCATTCTAATCTCGCTTAGACTGACGTCCGGGATATCATCGGAATAGTGTCGGATAAGACTTGCTCTTGGATCGTTACTCACACTTGCGTGTGGCGCCAACGATGATGTGTACAGCTGCCCATAGAACCTCTCAATCTCACTCAAAATCTCAGGTGTCCCGGAAACGATGCTGCCACACTCAGTCTTCAGCTTCGATAGTTGGCTCTTACTGGCAGACAGATCTCTGGCAAAGACTTTGGAGCCCTGGTTCCGCTCGATCGCTTCTTTAATACGAGCAGTATTAAAGTTGCGTAAGTCTCGCCGCATGCATTTGGAGATCTGTCTGTTCAGTTGCCTGTATGCTGTCAAATCTGTTGACGATTGCAGCCTCATCTCCCGTCTAACAGCCATGAGATTAAGAGTGTGATCGGAGAGTTTTTGTGTTCTTCTGCGGCGGGTCTTGCAGAACTTAGCTCCGACCGCATGGACAGTTTCCACGAGCTTGTCATTCATATCGTCCACTGAATTGCAATCTTCTAGGCACTGAAAGCGGTTACGTAACTCGAGCTGAAAGTTTTCGGGATTCTCGATTAGAGCACGAGGGGGGACGGAGCGTTGACTTCATTAGACGAGACCTCTCCAACTTAACGTTTAGGTTTAGTGTGCCTCTTACCATTCGGTGATCGCTGCCAGTTTTCACCCTTGCGATCACTGTTTGTACTACGTATACGTTTAAATAACTCTGCTAGAAATTTATTTTATTTTGTACAGACAGAGGTTAACTGAAACCGGAGATGTGCATTAGCATCTTCTTGAAACAATTCTAAATAATTAAAAAAACTGCGGCCTTAAAACCGCCCGCCTAGCGTAGCAACGATGGCATATATCCCCCCTTCGAGATACTCTATGGATAGGCCAACTAAATATATTAATAATTTGTTCTTATACAGTTGTATAAATGTTAGTGTTATACATAAAAAATATTTCCAATAAAATATTAGAAATTGTGCAACCCTAGCGAAAGAATGCGGTTCACACATAATGATGAGCTATCTGGGCCAACGAAAGCTTTATTCCACTCGCTGGCACTGTCACTTCTCTAGCTGTTTTGACAGTAACATTAAAGCAATTCTAATATAGTTAATACTACAGCTTGAAGCATAAAGGTCTTATTACCGTTAATTTCATAAATGATGTAGTGATATTTGCTGTATGCGAAAACGTGGAAAATGTGTAACATATAATAATCTCTAGTTCTTCCAATTTCTCTTTATCTTGAATGGATTCTATTGCTAACCAAATAACCAAAGACACTGTATTTGAATAAGAATATTGCGGGTAACCAATAGTTGAAATTTTGAAGATCAATATTTAATATATCATTCACAAGTACACTTTAGGAGGCGTTTTACACACAAGCTTCGACATAATAAGCTTCCTTGAACTTTTTTTACTTATTTGTATATTTTATAAAGATAATTTGTGACTTTTGAAATAAAAATAGTCTCTTTGTAAGTTTCTTGCCACTTTTTCTCACAAGGCATCCCCGTAGTAGCATACTGCGTAGTAGCATAGTGTCAAAACGATGGCGGAGCATTTGACTTTTAAAAAGTGCTTTTCAAAGACCCATTTTCAATAAAATATTTGATTTTGACTTTTCTATATAATCAATTGTTCCAGAGCGAAAATTCAAGTCCGCCTTCGCCTGGTTCTCTCTGGTCGTATCGGATTGACGTAACATCGAATTATGTATATATACTCGTGCTCTGTAATCCTGTCCTATGCAGATTACGCCGTGACCAAAATTCGTTCTGATGGACAATAAACGTAGTGTTTAGTTGAATGCCGGTGCATAACATACTACAACGGTGTAATTGTTCATTTATTTACCATCGGGCTTCGATATTCACACCAAATGTACTCGCAAAATAAACAGTCTAGCGATGGAAAGTGGCGGGAAAGATCTCAGATATCTGTCACTGCGATCACCAACGTGTCTGCCAAGCGTGTTGATTGAGACACATGATACTATAGGCGAAACCTATGTAGATTAGAGGCAAAAACTGGAATCCCATATTGAAGAAAAAATCTTAATCCTAATCTCATCAAATTTTATACGTGGTAGAGCTATGCTGCAGCTATATTATGGTTGTAGCACGAGTGGGTCGGCACGACCGGGGAAGGACCACGCTCTCACAGATCACCAGCGTAAAATAGCAGCTTAATGCTATGGGCCACAGCATCCACTTACGGTGTGCTAGTTTGTAACCATTATTCTATTAAAAAATCTAGTTTAAGCACATTTCTCCTAAATAAGATAATAATATTTGTGGTGTGCCTACTAAGGCCGCGTTTCTATGTATTTAGCTGCCTACATATTCATCTAAGTTGTTTACGTTCACCACACTGTTCATAAAATCTTTTAAAAATGTTCTTAGATTTTTACTTAGGAAACGAAAATAAACATGTATTCTTAACACATGTTTCTAATCAAATAGATATAATATAACAACTTTTGGAATTTACTTTGTCCTACCTACTCAAACAAATTTATTAAGATGATTGTAAAAGACACTAATTCGATTTACGATATTTTCCAGGTGCTGTTCACGTGCTTTGTTTTAGAAGTTTCAACAAAACCCGCAGACGTGTAAGTTTAATTTATCCTTGCTTTAATCAATTACTGAATAAGATTCTTAAAATGAGTAGGATTATAAAAAATGTGTTTTCATATTTCTTTCATAAAGATTTAATTTTGTTCATTTTGGGCAATTTGAGTTAGTTATCGCTAGCATTGTTAATGACTTTGTTATATAGAAACCGCTAAAATACGGGCAAATTTTACTTGTTACCTAATACTCACAAACGCCTCATTAAAATTCACCGCGCGACACAACGCATTCACGAACTAACCTTGTATTCATAGTTGTATCTTCGAGATAAGAAGCTATTGTAAAAATCTACGCGCCTAGCTAATCCAGGTATGGTGATTAATAATACTTAGCTGAACCACCGCTACATTTATACAGTGCACGCTATATTAATCAGCTTGGGCTTAGTATAGAAGTAAATCTTGAAGAAATTCTATAAAAATATACGTATGTATATTTCAGAACGACAACGGACGGCAGCAAAGAAGAAACATTAAGTAAAACTGACGAAATACAAGATAGTGAAGAAAAACTACTGTCAAATGACTCAAATCAATCTAATCCTATTACTCGTGACATATTAGAAAAAATTAAAACAATCAATGACGGGCTGAAAAAGCCAGACAAATTTCAAAAAAACTACAATAACAACCTTCAATCTGACGCTGAATATGTCATCGATGCGGCTACATTCGAAAAAATACAACAAATTATTTCTTCAGTGAAGCCACGTCCGAGTTCACAACAGATAAACAGTAATCAAGAAACAAATTCTATTTTTAATGAGAATGACGTAAACCAACGTTTTGTGCATTCAAAAGCATTAAGTTTTATACCAAGTTCTTTAAATAACGGCTTACTTCCAACATTTTCTATGCCATATATAACTACTATGCCAATTTTAATGGTGCCAGCAATCACTGATGTATATACTAAAAACAGCATACCAAATTCGATACAATCAGATAGTTATCAAACAAGACAAGAATCACCATCATTTCCGTTTCAATTTCAATGGCCATTTGCTTCTTTTTTTCCTATATTGGTAAAGGATCCCTTACTTGCATTTATGCATGGAGGTGGCTGGAACAATTTTTTTGAATTTGGACAAAGCGCTGATGTGTGTAGTGTAAGAAAACAGAAATCCTCTATTTTGAATACCATTGAGAACATGGAATTTAGTAACAATGTTGAAAGTAATAAGTTCGTGGAAAATGTCCTTAATACAGAGAGTTTAAATCCCCGTTCAAGAATTAGGCGCTCGCTCAAAAAACGGAATATATTAACATCGTCTACTACTGAACAAGAACTAACTAGTGCTAATGAGCCAAAAAAAGTTATACTGAAACCCGCTGTTACACGAAAAACAACGAATAAGCCGCGAATTGAAAAAGAGAAGGTAGTTCAAGATACAAAAAGCGGTGAAATCGAAGGGGACTTACGTTTTCCTTTCAGTGATTTTTCATGGTTCGGAAATAAAAAACCAGTGGCTCCTAGCCCGGGTTTCTTTATAAACAGGCTAAGGGTAAGGAAAGGTGGTGTAGCAATCGCAGGGCCGGGTGGTGTAGCAACGGCTGGAAGAGGTGGAACTGCTATTGTTGGACCAGGTGGATTAGCTTATACCCAGCCTGGAGGCATTGCTGTCGCAGGTCCTGCTGCTCGTGTAATTGCTTTATCACCGCACACTGATCTAACATCATTAATATCACGCCTTCATCCACAATCCACAGATGAATCAGTGCCACGATCATTTAATCCATTATTAGAAGGAAGGCTGGTAGGTACAGGGCCGATTATTTACTATCATCCAAATGAACAGACATGATCACTTCTGTATGCTCTTATATTAAACGAAATACCAATTAATTCTTATTTACCTGCCTGTTAGATACAACGGAGTACCTCGAAGAAGTATGGCACAATATATAGGAAATTCTAACAGCAAGAGATCTGATTACCACTACAATGGAATGAAATTTGAAAAAGGTTCATTAAAAAATGCTACAATAATGATACACCTTAACCCCAGGGCTCACGCAGTCACTGATATAAATGGAATTGCAATAGCAAATCCTATATCTCATGTTGTAGTTGGAAAAAATAAACAAGTTTCAATAGCTTACAACCCAGAAGTAGTTGCCATAGCTGGACCTGGTGGAATAGCGCACGCTGAATCTGAACTTAACCTCTATGAATTTTACACTAATATAGAAGAATAATTAATGTTAATATACAACTGTATGTATAGTGATATTCGAAAAATATTTTCGATGGCATTCTTGAAGCTGTTTTTCGAACTAAAATCTTTTAAAAAGATAATAAAACTTGAATATAGTTTGTTGGTTTAATTTTTAACCTTTAAAGTAATAGGTAATAGTATTAAGTTAGTTGTTATTGTAAGTGTTCACTTTATAGTGCTATGAAATTTCAAATCAAGCGCTTATCCTCTGAGTACACCACGTCTCTCAGTTAAAAAATACATTATAACTTTAGTATTATCTTTAACCCTATGGTAGTACCTAGCTAAGTATGCCTATACTTTGCCTATATACTATTATAGGTGGAAAGCTGAAAGAGGCCTTTATCCGGTTGTGAACAACACAACAGTAATTAAGCATGAAACGATACCATGAACTATTCCACCGAATATAATCATACACAGCACTTTATCTTTTACCTACATGGGATAACTTGATAGCAAATGAAGTTCGTGATCTGATTGCCATGCTGTTTACCATCGTATTTTTATATACATAGGGATAAACGAGCATGCGGCTCACCTGATAATAAATGTCGACCGCCATCCATGAACAACTGGAACACCAGAGCTATTGCAGGTGCGTTGCGAACCTTTTAAAAAGTAGTAAGCAAGTGAAGATTTCTAGACGTATTGATTCGGAAAATGATAAATGATTCCACAATGAAGTCGTGTAAGAAAGAAAACTCCTAGTTAATCGCACAGTCATGGAACGCCAAGCATTCAGATGGTGCGAATGGTATCGTGAGTTTTGTCGCGATGAGTATTGGTGGAGTTTTGCAGCTAAAATCAATCCGAACATTTTCTCCGAGCATTATCCATGGTAGATGCGATATAAAATGCAAAGGGATGCAACATTTCTTGAAATCGCCAGTGATCGAACCGATCCGAAAGAACGCGGTCGCCGAAGATTCGAGCCTGTCTTCGATGGGCGCGATCAAATGGAAGGAGCTGGCTCTGGGGAGTCCTACTCCAGAGATTAGAACAATATTCCATGTATTTTACTAAAGGGATCATCTATTATAATTATTATTATCTTATAATTTTGTGTACAAAGTAGCGATTTCAACAGTATTTGGTACAACTTTATTCAGTTGTGTCTCAGATATTATATTGCAAATTATTCTGCCTAAGGCAAAACATCCCATTAATAATAGCCACCGGTTGGGATATTTAGTCTAGCAATTTTTTATATGGTTTTATCATTGTTTCAGAATAAGTATTTATAAGTATTCTATTAATTATTAAGTGATGATTTCACAACACTTCCAATCAAAGAACATACTATTACGTATATGTTTTTATTTATAAGAGATAAGACTTTCTTTTGATAGATAGCTCCGTGAGCAGATTAAATTGCAAAATGATACAAATGAATATCTATATCTATATATAAATCAATTGATGTCCGTTAGTCTTGCTAAAACTCTTGATGATTTTGTGTGTGTGTTTGAGTGGGTGATTCAGATTTACAATTAAACCCAGTAAGAGGCGCTGTTGTTAAGATACAGAAATCACACGTGTGAAGCCAGGGCGAATCGCTAGTTATACAATAAAACTAAACTACGAGGATAATGTGAGTTTTACAGTAATCGCAAGACTATAAATTCATATTTATTATCTTTATTTTTAATTGGAGTTATAATATTATTTAATTAATGAAATCTAAAATTTCGAAAACAGTTCAAACACATACAATAAAATCATGAACTATTGATATGCATTAAATTTTTTATAGATCAGCACCTGAATGAAAAACATGACACTTTTTCAGTAACTGGTAAAATGTTTCAACTGTTATTTATAAAAGAATATATTTTGAAAATCTCTATGTTATCCCCCTGAATTACTAGAAGCCATTTTAAAATAACCAACTAAAGGACGATAAACCAAACTCTTTCTCTAACTTTCGTAGTCGTATAGAAAGTAGCATTTGTGTTACAAGGGTCATAAACTACTATATCAAATTTCATGGAAATTCGTTCAGTAGCTCTTGTACGAATTATGAATACACCGTACTACTTTGGCGTCAGTATCCTCTATATAGGACTCTAGACTTGGTTTTTATGGAAAATATTTGACACAAAATTTCACGGGTTTGTTAAATGTATAGATTAACTTTTAATAAATTTGAACAAATAAAATAATATACATTTTTAATATAAATCCAAAGGAAATATTTTATTATAGGGCATCTACACAATACCTGCCATTTTACGGAGGAGCCAAAGGGCAATATTTAGAAGTAAAAAAGGACACGAAGGGTGTTGTTGTTAGCGAAAAGATATTAGCAGAAGACAGCATTAGCAGTGATAACATAGTTAAAAATACCGATGACAGCCTCCTGTCTAGGGTATTCGCTGCGAACTTGCAGAGTCTACGGACATTGTCGAGCAATGTACTTAAATTACATACCTTGGGCAGGAAAACGGGTTCTTTGGGAAACACTGACAAATCAAGATTCAAAAGTCAGCTATCTTCACTTGGAGAAACAGCATCAAATACAATCAAGTTGATAGATGAAATTGGGGATAATGTAGATGCGCTTTTTAATCAAAACGCTACACTCTTGAAACGGAATGAGGAAAACTTTGAGGATGATGATGTAAGTACTATTTTAAAATTATTTTAATGTAAATTTTATAAACAATATAGCATCAATATCTAAATCAAAGAAACTTACCATGTACTTAATATAAGAGAATACTTTATCCCAGTATATAGTATATTTAAGTCATTTTTTTAATAAACTGAAGTAGCAATTTTTTATTTTTTTTATATTTTTAAAAAACGTTACCCCGAGACTAAGATTTTCTCTTGTATCGTGGGGGCAATTTACAAACATAAATTGCACAAGGACAACCATCCAGACCCGGAACAACTATATGTAGGCCATACAAATACATGTTCCGTGCGGGATTCGAACCCGCGACACCCACTGCGTCAAATAATCTTACAGTCCACCTGGCAGTCCTGTTCATAGACAACCTGCGGCCAACTCGGTGGAATTGCGCACAGTCTGTAATGATTACTAGCTCTCTTTACCCTTCAGACCCAAACACAGCGGTGTGAGTACTGCTAATAAATTATTGCTATTTAACTTAGCAAGCTATGTAGATAACATTACATCCATTTAATATTCCAGGCAACGTAAAGTTGCGCATCGTCTGGCAGTAATTGCTAGTGTACCTCTTAAGGACGATCAAAGGAAACCCTTTCCAAGATCTAAGAGGTCCATATGTAGTCCATATAAAAAAGCTTAAGGTCGTTTAGCCAGCTATGAAGTAAGGATATCCGCAGTAGAACCAGAGTAATCGACATAGCCCAACGGATTATAAAGCTTGAGTAGCAATGACCCGGCCATATAGCTTTTTAAACTCGTACCCGCATGTGAATGTAAGGTGGCTCCCTACTAAATAGGGAGATGATCTCTACTAGAGATGAACTAGTAAGAGGTGCAGGAAGTTAACGAATGCAGGTGGCTCATGACCGTGATTTATAACATTCCTTCCGGGAGGCTTATGTTCAAAAGTGAACTTGTGATGCTGTAATTATAATGATTTTGATGATATCCAGTAAACTGTTAAAAGCATAATATGAACACGTAGATAATATATCATAAGTGTCATTAGGAAAATTCCTAAAAAAACTTGTGGCTTTCAATAGATATAACTACTTTCTATTTATGCTAAGTGTAAAACACTCAACCTAGTAAGTAAAGCAGCGTCAAGGGTGCAAGAGGTCTGCTACTGACAACGACAATCTGTCTACCTCCTTATTATGAGAACAGGGTTATCTTCAGCCACAAATTGTTAACGAGCTAATAAATATCAATCGTAGTACCAGACGTTTTGCACTTTTGACGCTTCTCACCGTCACCGCTTAAGATATTTTACAAGTAAATATGGCGTAAACAATACGGATATTCCGCCATCTATCGGAAGCCATGAGATCTATCCGAGGTTTCCCATAGTCGCCTCTTACCTCGAAACTAAATTGGATAGGGGGTACTCTAACGTCACCACCATATCACACATCATACAATACCTAAAATATCGAAACTGGTAATAAGAGCCAACGTCAATTATTGTAAATCTATAACCGCTTTGATACTGCGATCATTTATTGTTTTCAAACCATATTTACCAGAAATACGTTGGCACTTTGTGGTAATAAATGTATATTTATACTGTAATTGTTATATTATATATATGTTTATACTTTAATATTAGTTTCTATTATTGTTATTTAGGTGGGCGATGAGAGTGTTGGAGTCGACTCTCCATTCGACACAGATGAGTTTGGTTTCAGCAATTCAAGAATTGCCGAAGCGAAGCCTTTCGGTTTGTATTTATATTAATACAGAAAGTAATAGGTATAATTTGATCTTAAGCATATTTAGCCGACGTTAAAATGGTCATGAACGCGACTGCTGATTATACCCGGACCAGAAAACCAGTTATTGAGATTTTCGGTCCAGAAATCCTCAGTACCTTCAACTTCAAGAAGCTGGCGATTGTTTTCCCCACCCGAGCCTTGAAAGATATGTAAGGGTCGAGTCTATGGAAGTGAGGGAATAGAAACACACACACACACAAGTACGACTCACACACACATACATTGCACGCACACACAATTTAATTCTGCCCTACGCAGATTACCAATATCCGTTGAGACTAGTCGCCGTAACCAAAATTCGGTTTATAAAATTCCACATGCACATAAATGAAACGACAGAAATATACATTTATATTTATTAATAAAGTTCTTGTCTACAAAATTCTTAACCAACTCTTAAAAATATCATGCTGACACACACACACACACACACACACACACACACACACACACACACACACACACACACACACACACACACACACACACACACACACACACACACACACCCCGCACACGCACACACACACACACGGACGACGCACGCACGCACGCACGCACGCACGCACGCACTCACACACACACACACACACACACACACACACACACACACACACACACACACACACGTACACACAAACGCACACGCACACACACACGCACACGCACACGCACGCGCATGCACGCACGCACGCACGCGCACACGCGAACACGCGCACACGCGAACACGCGCGCACGCACGCACGCACATATATATATTTCTTCCTTTTGCTTATGATTTAGTTATGGTGTACAATAATCTATCTATCTGTACATACCGATATACAGCCTAATAACTGAGTATAAATACAAATTAATATATTAAAGGTGGCTCATACCCACCCAATGAAATTAATGATGTGTCTTACCTAGTTTCAAGAGTACCTTCCGCCCTACCTTAATTTTATGCACTATCCCCATTACCATTAATCCCAGCACCACTATTCCCTACATCACTACACTAGAAAAAAAAAAAAAGATTTCTTCTTCTTTGGTTGTGGGGGGGGGGGGGGTGTTTTTTGTATAAATTAAAGGAAGGGGGGGGCCTTTTTTTTTTTTTTTAAACCTGCATGTCTGAGAAATAAGGAAAAAATATTTCGAAGACATGTGAAGTTCGCCAACACTCATTGGGGCAGCGCGGTGGACAATTCCTTGGCCTGAAAATCTCTCAGAAATGAGGGGAGGCCTATGTCCAGCAGTGGGACGTATATAGGCTGTCACTTTACTTTACTTTACACTTTATATTAAAGTGACTTATGCCAAAAGTGGCGATGTAAAGATGTCATCCCGTGGGTGTCTTAAGGGGCGACAAAGGGAAACAAATCAGGAGATGGGCAGCAGCGTCTTCATAACAACGACTAAAAATTTTTTAACAGTGGTAGAGCCACGCGGCAGCTTTGCTGTTGCACGTATGGGCCGGCTCAAACCGGGGTGGTACCACGACCTCACAGAATACCGGCGTGAAGTGGAAGCTCTGCTTCCGCGTTTCGTCTGGTGAGTGCAGGTGGCCGGAGGCCCAAATCCCCCCCCCCCCATCAACATGGTAGCGGAATTAAATAATGATCGACTACCCCAGGAGGGTACCAGCACCCCTGGAGAACCCCTCGCTGAGCATCCACGACCATGTTTCTCCACTTCTGAGCGTGGGTGCTCAGGCTGCCCCGCGTATTCTGAGGGGGGGGGGGCAAAATTTCGCTCAAGACTACAACTGCTCGGGGCAAACGGAGCAACAAGACCAAGGCGACCCCTGCCACGCTGTCCGTGAATTTCTGCAATATCAGGGGACTTCACTCTAACCTAAACGCCGTCCACTACCATCTCGAGACGGCGAGGCCGGCTCTGCTCTTTCTGACCGAGACGCAGGTGTCCTCTCTGGCTGATGTCTCGTATCTCTCCTACCCGGGGTACAAACTGGAACACTCCTTTGTGCCTCGGGCTGGAGTTTGCGTTTACGTCAGAGAGGACATCTGCTCTCGACGCCTCGGCAGACTTGAAGGTTCGGACCTGTCCATCCTTTGGCTACGCGTAGACAGCGACGACCATCCGCGCGTCTACGGGTGCCTCTATAGGTCCCATAGCGGTAATGCCGAAACAGACCGACTATTCGACCACGTCCAAATGGCTGCAGATTCGTTGCTACAGCAGATCCCCTCCGCAGAGATCGTGATCCTCGGCGACTTTAACGCCCATCACGCCGAATGGCTTGGTTCACGTTTAACCGATCATGCGGGGATATCTGTTCATGATTTTGCCTTGGCATATGGTCTGACACAACTGGTTACTTCGCCTACGCGGATTCCAGATGTGGAGGATCATGCACCTTCCCTGTTGGACCTTCTGCTGACCTCTCACCCGGACGGATATCAGATTTCCGTCGACGCCCCTTTAGGCTCCTCGGACCATTGTCTGGTCCGGAGTGTGGTGCCACTCACGCTAAAATCGCGGTTGCATTCTGCAGGCTGCCGCCGTGTTTGGCACTATAGGTCAGCCGATTGGGATGGGATGCGGTCTTTCTTTGCATCCTACCCTTGGGGGCGGGCTTGCTTCTCGCCGGATGATCCCAACGTTGTTGCGGATTCTGTTGCTGATGTGGTACTTCAGGGTATGGAACTTTTTATTCCTTCCTCTGTGGTGCCCATTGGAGGCAAGTCTCAGCCATGGTTTGGTCGCTCCTGTAAAATAGCATCATGCTATAAGCAGGAGTGCTACCAAGCCTGGGCTGATGCATCAGCGTCCCGGGATGTAAACACCAGCGCTCTAAAAAAGAAGTATAATTCCGCCTCTAGGTCCTTCAAAAGAGTCATTGCCAAGGCAAAGTCAGAGCACATAGGCAGAATTGGCGAGAAACTAGTTCGCCTTCCTTCTGGAACCCGTGCATTCTGGTCTCTCGCCAAGGCTGTCCAGGGGAATTTCTGTCAGCCATCTCTTCCATCTCTGCACAGGGAGGACGACTCACTGGCCCATACCGCAAAGGAGAAAGCCGATCTTCTAGGCTCTTTCTTTGCGTCTAACTCGACTCTCGATGACGGGGGGAGTACTCCGCCGACCATCCCGCGGTGTGAGTGCTCCATGCCGGAAGTGCACTTCACACAGCGCTCGGTTCGCAAAGCACTCCTCTCCCTGGACATCCACAAGTCGAGTGGGCCTGACGGAATCCCCCCAATTGTGCTGAGGACGTGTGCTCCAGAGTTGGCACCGGTTTTAACGCGTCTTTTCCGGTACTCCTACTCCCTAGGCGTAGTCCCAAAATCATGGAAGACGGCTTACGTCCACCCGATCCCTAAAAAAGGCGACCGCTCTGACCCGTCCAACTACCGGCCAATCGCCATCACCTCCTTGTTCTCCAAAACAATGGAGTCCATTGTAAACTGCCAGCTCATGAGGTACCTTGAAGATCACCAGCTGATTAGTGACCGCCAATACGGTTTTCGCCGTGGTCGGTCAGCTGGTGATCTTCTGGTCTACCTAACTCACAGATGGGCGGAGGCAGTAGAGTTCAAGGGGGAGGCATTGGCCGTTAGTTTGGACATTGCGAAGGCCTTCGATCGGGTTTGGCACAAAGCGCTTCTTTCGAAGCTCCCTTCCTATGGGCTTCCCGAGAAATTGTGCGATTGGATCACCAGCTTTCTTGCAGATCGGAGCATCAAGGTCGTTGTAGATGGTGCAAGCTCCGATTGCAAGCCTATTAATGCTGGTGTTCCACAGGGCTGCGTGCTATCGCCAACGCTGTTTCTTCTGCATATCAATGACATGTTGCATACCCGTAACATTCATTGCTATGCAGATGACAGCACTGGTGATGCTCTTTACACCGGCCGAGCCAATATTTCTCGGGAAAACGTCTCCGAGTGCCGGGACAAACTTGTGTCTGAAGTCGAGTCTCTGCTGGACAGAGTCTCGGATTGGGGGCGACTAAATCTAGTCCAGTTTAACCCCCAGAAGACACAAGTTTGCGCGTTAACCGCTAAAAAGAACCCCTTTGTCGTATCCCCTCAGTTTCAAGGCACTCCCCTTGTTGCCTCAGCCAGTATCGGAATCCTCGGCGTCGACATATCGAGTGACGTGCAGTTTCGTGGTCACTTAGAAGGGAAGGCCAAATTGGCCTCTAAAAAGCTTGGCGTGCTCAGCAGAGCGGGACAGTATTTCATGCCGGCACACCGCCTGCAACTTTACAAGGCGCAGGTTCGGCCGCACATGGAATACTGTTCCCATCTCTGGGCTGGGGCTCCCCAGTACCAGCTTCTTCCACTTGACCGCATCCAGCGCAGAGCGGCTCGAATCGTCGACGACCGAGTGCTTTCCGATCGGCTCGATTCACTGGCGCTGCGGAGAGATGTTGCATCTCTTTGCGTATTTTATCGCATCTATCACGGGGAGTGCTCTGAGGAATTGTTCGGATTAATCCCAGCCGCCAAATTTCGTGAACGCACTACACGTCAAACGTCCCGATACCATCCACACCATCTGGATGCTTGGCGGTCCACCACTGTACGTTTCACAAGGAGTTTTCTTCCACGTACAACCTCTCCGTGGAATAGCTTACCACCGGCGATTTTTCCGGACCGATACGACCTGGGGACCTTCAAGATAAGAGCTTACTCCTTTCTAAAGGGCCGGCAACGTACCCACAATTCTCCTGGTGTTGCGGTTGATCATGGGCGGCGGTAGTCACTTAACATCAGGTGAGCCGCATGCTCGTTTGCCCCTTCTTCTATAAAAAAAAATTAAAAATAAACCATGGCAAATATCCCCATACGAGGCAATCTATGGAGGAGGGCAATTCTCGGCGGTGGACTTTAACAGACTGTAACGGTAACGTTATTCCGAAAAAAAATCCTTTTTTTAAAATTTAATCTTCATATACAATTCTTAATTTCCAGGTTTAGCCGTGATTGGTGAAACAGGGCTTGCGGCTTCTCGACCTATGGGTACCGCAGTAGCTTCAAGCGGAGTTGCAATAGCACGCCCTATTGGCATTGCTATCGCGGGAATAGACCCCACACGACTAGGAATTGATTACCAAATAAACCAGTCGAATGGAGACTTTTATCCTCAAAAGTCACCAGGCAAAAATTAAATACATTGAAATTGTGATTGCGTGCCATAAATTTATCATGTGATTTGTAAATTTAATATTTAGAAACGCAAGGTTCAATTCGTTTTAGACTTCATTGGTAAATGTATTTATTTATTTATTAAAAAAAGGAAATTTAATGGTATTGTTTAAAAATATATTTTTTAGTTTTACAAAATACATGGAACAATAATAATTTAGAATTTTATTGAGCCATGTCAATGAATAACTATCATTATATAAGTAAAATGAAAATCTGTGTGATATTAAAGTCTTCAAAAGACGTAAAATTAAAAAAAAATTAGTAATATATATTTTTCCAAATTGTTGTTTTATTTATCAAAAGTCTAAAGACTATAGATTCAACATACTATATTAGCATACCTAAAATTTGAAATATTGATGGAAAATACCCGTTTTTTTATTATTTTCATCAGTTAAATAATGAGCATAATCGTCTTTACCATGCTCTTCACTTTTTGTTTAATATTGTAAGCTGGGGATTGACTACGCCACCTGATGGTGAAGGCGATGTAGTCGAAGATGGTACAGCGTTAATACGTTGCTTCCCGTTAAATTCTGGGAGTACCTATTCAAATCACTTTATAAAATATTTACCTCGTCATGTGTTTAGGGCTAACGGAAATTGCTAGCAATCTCTGAATCAACTTTTATCTGAGTTAGTGACAAACAAGTTGAGGAAATATTTGGGCAATAGATAATTTTTTATTTTTTCGGAGGTTTGAGTCTTGATGGTAAGTGGTTGCTGTGGCCCATAGACATCTACATCTATCCTCGATTACGAATCAAAACACAGCTATGCGTTGTCACCCGTGAGGACTAAGATGGAATGCCTCGTTTCCAGTAAAAAGGGTCTCCGGTTCTCTACACTCACCATACGAAATACAGCTGCATTAAGCTACTATTTTACGCTGGTATTCTGTGAGAGTGTGGTCCTTTCCCGGTCGAGACGGTACTACCACTACAATACTACTAATATAACTGCAGCATGGCTCTACCACGTTTAAAACTATGTATCTCAGATACTGCATGGCCCTTCCTCTGATACGCAAAACCATGGCATCAATCAAGAGAACGTGCAGATGCAGTACTACCTTTGTGATTACATGATAAAATCAATTAAAAGACTACAAGATTATTAAAATATTACGTGGCACAAGATTACATGTGGTAAAGCCACGTTGCAGCTATTGCTTGTAGCATGAATGACCAGACTCTCACAGAATACCAATAAAAAGTAGCAGTTTAATTCTGCCATGTTTCGTATGGTAGATATAGAGAACTGGACACACTTTTCACTGGAAATAAGACATTATAATATAATCCTCATAGGTTGACAATGCATCTGCATTTTGATTCGTAACCGAGAATAGTCTATAGGCCACATTAACCATTTGCCATCAGGTGGACTTGCGATCATTTGTCACCCTATTCCTATAAAGAAAACTAAGAAAATTTTTCTGATTTTTCTTATATTTGTTTGAAATTAACTCTATATAAATATATGAAGGTTACCAGGTTAGGTAAGGTATCGATTCCTACTGGAAACCACAAAATCTTCCGATCATTTCCGTAAGTCACCTTTCATGATTCATGCATTAAATTAGTACAGCGTACAACGTAGAGGAAAGTAACCAAATATGGAATAGTATCCCTAAAATGGAATACCGCCATTTCTCGGTAACGAATACTCCTAGTTGCAAAAGACAGTGATTTTCTGTCTCTTTCCATCATTATACTCGCGTACAGTTTTCGACTTGTCAGTCGGGCGAATGTTGTGGCCGCAGTGAGAGTGTTTTGTTTTGGCGCTGTGAGAAAAGTTTTTAAGGTACGTAAAAACTAAGTATTTCTCAAAACATGATGGGAAATAATATTGTATATTATGAGTATGCATTGATTACATGTTTTTTTGATTGTTTTAGAGGTATTTTCTTGTCTGATCTTGATGAGTAAAAAAATCTGATATACGTTTTGATTACTTTGAAATTTCCGAATATGGACAGTCCGTGGAGTCTAAATATGGACTGTTCCAAATTTGGATACCACAATATCATCTGGCTAGATTTCAAATTTAATATTTTGGTTTTATAATGACGTCTTCAAGTTTAAAAGGAAAACGAAAAGAATGGAACACAGATCACATGACAGAATCTATACGAATGATTAGAGAGAAAAAAATGGGTTATTTTAAAGCAGCAAAACACTTTGATGTACCAAGAACCACTTTGTTTCGATTGTGTCAGAAAAATGAGCTATATCCAGAAGAAGCTGCAGCCACTAAATTAGGAAGAAAATCTGTTTTAGGTGATCAGCTCGAAAACCTACTAGTAGAATATATTTTAAAGATGGAGAGCAAGTTTCATGGTTTGACGAGGAATGATGCTCGTAGAATGGCGTATATGTTGGCAAAACGCAATCATTTGGAGAATCCGTTTGGTGAGTCCGGAATGGCTGGAAAAAGAGGCTAAAGCTATTTTTAAACCGTCATAAGCAAAAACTTTCGATGAGAAGACCCACTGACACGTCTTTTGCAAGAGCTTTTGGTTTCAGTAAAAAAAAAATAGACGCTTTTTTTGATCTTCTTGAAGAAGTCTACACTAAGGGTAACTATACTCCGAATCGCATATATAACGTCGACAAATCTGGGCTTACAGTGGTTCAAACCAAGATACCCCAAGTTATCGCTCACAAAGGAAAACGACAAATAGCTTCACTTACTTCAGCTGAAAGAGGAGGTGATTAAGAGACAATAGTTATTGCTATGAACGTTACTGGCCATTTTGTGCCTCCTTACATCATTTTTCCTAGGAAAAATATGAGCGAACATCTAATGACAGGCAGTCCTCCAGGTGCGGTAGGCGTTGCACATCCATCAGGATGGATCCAAATGCAAATATTTACAGATTGGTTTAAGCATTCCATCAAACACACCAACCCGACACCAGAATAGAAAGTTTTGTTGGTCTTAGATGGATAGTTATCGATATTGCAAGGGAGAACAATGTTGAAATTGTTTCCATAGCTCCACAGACAACCCACAAACTGCAACCTTTGGATAAAACTTTTATGGGACCACTAAAAACCTATTATAGCGAAGAAATACGAATGTAGATAAGAAACCATAACAGGCCACTAAGTCCTTATGACATTATTGAACTATTAGGCAGATCTTACTTGAAAGTGCAAACAGAGGAAATTGTAGCGAATGGCTTTCGCGTTACAGGCCTTTGGCCATTGAATAAAAACATATTGAGCGAGATCGACTACCTTGCTGCCCAACAAGATGCAGTAAAAGATGCTTGCACAATCAATGCCACTCCAACAAAATCAAGCTCCCAGTCGAAAGAATCATCAACAAACGATGCAAGACCACCTGATAATAGTTTGATTTTAACTGAAACTTCTGTCACATCAAGACAAGACACATAATTCGATTCAGAACTCTCAACTTCCAGGCTTTCTCGCAGTACTCTAAATCTGGTGTCGCCCTATGACATCAGCCCAGTGCCAGATAAAAAAAGAAAGATTTCTAATAGAGGAAGAAAAACAACTATTGCTGAAATAATAACATCTTCTCCATATAAAAATCAACTCATTGACAGTAATAGAAAAAAAAGAAAAAGAGAATAAATTATCGAAGCCAAAAAATAAAAAAAATAAAGAAAAGAAAACTAAAGGAAAACAGCAAAAAGAGAAAACCAAGTCTCAAGATAGTCCCATTGATTCAGACGATGAAGAAGAAATACACAGAATGACACAGACAGTGAGCCTTATGCCGTCATAGGACTGGAAGCTCCTAACTCAGAAGATGCAGAGTGTATGTTCTGCAATAGCTCGTTTTCTCAAGATACTAGAGAAGAGACATGGATCAAATACCTCATGTGCGGGCTCTGGGCACATGATGATTGCGCAGGTGCAGAGTTCGATACATGGATTTTTGCAAGTAATTTAAGTACATTTTTAAAATTGACCGAAGTTCATGTAGTACCTCTTAAAAGTAAAGGTTTATTATTCATAGTTTTATAGTAGTCCATATTTGGGTACCTATTCCATAATTAGGTGCTTCAATGTTGATTTAGTTTTTGAGAAAATTTTATATTTTAAATTAATATATGTAAAACAAAACTGTCAATAAGTTAAGCGCAACTGTATGACTGATAATAAATAAGAATAAAAGTTTTTGATTTAGAATATCTTTTTTTATGTAACACAAAAACAAAATGGTATTCCATATTTGGTTACTTTCCTCTAATCCACAGCTGAAAATAGCCCTCCCCCTAGATTGTCCCATAAATCATAACATTATATATGGGTACGTATTGGCCTTATTTACGCTTGTCAAGTTTTATGACAAGCGCATTTTATTTTTGTTTGTAAATGCAACAATGGGCAGGGTCTTCTTAATAACTAAGAAGATGCCCATCTCCTGGTTTCTTTCCCATTGTCACCTCTTACAACTCCTATGGGACGATATAAGGTAGCAGATAATAAAACGGTCAGCACGCCCTCAATGAAGTCGCCTTCCATTGGCATGCCATCACTAGATGGCTTCTCATATGCAGCCAATAGTAATAGTTTATAAACGAGCCATAGTTTGAATTAATGTCCATGTCACTATTCAAACGCCTTTTAATATATCAACTGCAATTTCACAAATTAAAAATGTTTAAGGCGCGTAATTTAATAATACCAGCGTAAAATAGCAGTAAATGGTGCTGTGTTTCGTATGGTGAGTGTAAAAAACCGGAGATCCTTTTTACTGGAAACGAGGCATTTCATCTCAGTCCTCAGGGCTGGCAACGCATCTGCATTTTGATTTTTAATTGGAGATAAATGTAGATGTCAATAGGCCATAGCATCCGCTTAACATCAGGTGGACTGTGTGCTCGTTTGTCACCCTTATACTATAAAAAAATCTTGTATATACACAGAAGCTATTTATGCGGTCCGTTTAGTGAACAAAAAGGAAAGTATTATTTGATTATTTTTGGGGCTCAACCACATGTTACGCGAAAAAGGGTTATTTACAAATCTTGTTCGGTTGCGTCTGGTATTAAGAAGATGTAAAAATACTTGTAACTCGGCAAGTATGTCTCAAAGGTAATTGGCCTATGATTATTATTTATCTGATGATCGGAATAATACTGTAAAGGTATGCAAATGCTTTTTTGTCAGCATCTTTAATATAATATGTAGCGATACACTGTCAGAATGGATTAAAAACCTGCAGGATAATACAGAGGAAGGAAGGGAATTAATATATACGAAAAACGACAACCAAACCAAAGTTTTTTGGAAGTTCTTAAATCAAATTCTGTCAAAGAATTATTGAACTATTAAATAAAGTACCAAGTCACCATTGTCGCTCTAGCAGTAACAGAGTTTATATTGAAGATACTTGTGAATTAAAGTCTCACGTATTTCGAGATAATACCCAGTGGTATCAACTCGAAATATGTGATCGATCCCCGCCGGCACCAATGAAATTGTTAATTGCAATTTTCTGATTTACCACGTGATCGGATGTGAAGGAAAACATCGTGAGGAAACCTGCGTATCTGAGGAATAAGAAAAAAAATATTTCGAAGACATGTAAAGTTCGACGACACGCATTGGGGCAGCGCGGCAGACACTTCCTTGCCCTGAAACCCTCTCAGAAATGAGGGAAGGCCTTTCCCAGCATGGCGTATATAGGCTGTAACTTTACTTTACTTTTACCGAGTGGTGCAAGGATAACCGAAAACCAAATATTGGTCGCAAGCTGCTTAATGATATATTGGAAGAGGAAATGATTTCTATTTTTAAGCCAAAGAAAGACCACAGCAGTACACATTACACATTGAAATAATTACAAAAATGAATAAAGCTTACAACGCTCATTTTGAAGCTTGCACTATAAGAACATCTAAAGTGCTGGTCCTGACTGCTGATGTCAGATCTGTTCTCCTTTATCCAAGGATTTTGGTGTCCGTTCAGTATTATAGGCGGAAACTTCAGTTTCATCATTAGTCTATTTATATTAATAATAAAAAGATATACACCTGTATGTTTGGCACGAAGGAAATGGAGGTGTTACGGCTAATGATTTTACAAGCTGATTAATACATTTCATTAGTTCTCTATTAAACTAGAAAAAACTATAATTATCTCAGTTGGGTGTTCTTACCAGAATATAAATAAAGTTTTATCATCAGCTAAATACGCTAAAGGTAACAAAAGAGACTGACAACACTTGACTTTACAAAAAGGATATACAATGATGCAAGTAAACACCAAATGAATATGTCAGTCGTATGAGGGAAGCAAGACCCAAGCAGTCATACCATGTTCATCATGTGGATAATAATTTCTTTAAGAATTATGAAGATGAAGTATGCCTAGAATCCATTGTTCCAGGCAAAAAATACAGAAATCCAACTTTTGATGGCATACGAGCTCGTTTTTATAAAAATGGTAGTATATTCTACAAGTTACGACATCCCGATGAATTGAAAATTCTACCTCAGCGACTTCGTGCCTACAACCCAATACTTGTTGTTACTCGTCTACACAACGAACCTCGAAAAATTTATTAAACCAAATACGATACTCTGCAGTCTTTAAAACCCTTTATGCATCGCGACTATCATGCATTTTATGATAACCTTCATTACAAGGAGTAACTTAATAACTCAATAAAGTCTGATTGATTTAGAAAATAAGCGTTAATAAGTTGTTTAATCTGTAACACATGTTTATAAGGTTATAGGTTTTAAAGAAGTTTTAGATTTGTTTTTTTTTTATAGAAGTTTTTATTTGCTTTTCTATAGATATTTTTAAAATATTAAATGCTATGATAAAGCACTAATGCTGCAATAATATTTGTAAAAATTGTAATTAAAAACTATGTTTTAAAAAGGGTCTGATTATTTATAGTTTAAGTTTCTAATAATTTTATTGTATTTTTTAATCTAAAAAGCTAAAAATCACATAATGATAAACCTTATAACAAAAAGTCTCACATTGCCAAATCCTCCATAATATGCAATAATGCTATTGTAACATACGTTATTGCTTAAGACGGATATAAACCAGTAATGTGCACTTTTTGGTTTGAAAAAGTTCTAGCTCCTTAAATAACAAATATTTGGAGAAACTTTTGTATATTTAATGTCTCAAATAAATGTCTATCATATTGCATTAATAGTTTTGCAGTATTTCTGTTTGATTATGCAATAACACGTTTTTTGTTACAACTCGTCAGACACAGCAACGAGATGCGTTGTCATTATTTATAACAATAAAGCTGGTATTCTTTGAAGAATTTTTTTACGAATAAATATCCAGAAAAACCAGTTATTTGTCAATTTTTCCAAACTGAGAAAACAGCTTCCAAAAATTTTAAAATTCATAACTCGTTACAGACATATCATAACTTTCAATGATAAGTTGATTATTGAGGGAGAGCATCTTGAAACAAAAAGGCGTCTCAATAATAATTTTTGCAGAAAATTGAAAAAGTGCGCAAGGTCGAGCAGTTAACTGATTTTACCTGTCCATCTTAAAATTCATTTTTCTCGTGTTCAAAAGTCTTTCTTGAATATTCTCAACCTGTGAAACATATCTATAGAATTTCAAACTATTATATACTTACAAAATGCAGTTCGATTCAAATAATAATCAAAGATATAAAACATTTTACCTTAACCTGAAAACTTTTGGAAAATGGACAAACTATAATCAGACTAAACTAAGTCAATATTATACCAGTTTTATAAAAATGCAGTGCAATCAAAAACACACACAATATATTTAATAATTCAAAATCTGAATCTGAGTTTTCCACAGCAAAATTTCTATACACATATCTCATCAGAAATAATTAATTTTTAATAAATCTTTACAACTTCTCTCTTTTTACCACAGTAATGAAATCAAAGAAGAATGCAATTGATTTCTTATATTTACGCGAACACTACACATTGATTAAAACTACTTATGCGGATTTTATCGCGTTTAATTTTAATTTTAATTATTTTTATTTTTTCGAGTGTCATATTCCTCTACAAGATGCAGGAGTGTACAAGCTTGATTATGAATGTGGTCTCTCTTATATAGGATAAACAAAAAGATCAATCAGAACCCGCGTATAAGAACATATAGCTGATGTGAAGCATCAACGTTCCGGGAAGCCTGCAGTTTGTGATCATATCCTAGACGGCCCCAACCATTACATCAGATTTGATAGACCACAAATTCTCGCAAAAGAACACCGATTCCTACCAAGCATGATACGTGAGGCAATTGAAATTAAAAAACATCCTAATTTCAATAGAGAAGGAGGCTGGGTACTACCACCTGCTTAGGACCCTATAATCAATAAAATTAAAACTAAACCCAAGCATACCACTGCAAGACTTCAAGACATAGTCAGTTCATTTTGCATAGAT